CTAAAGTTGGACCCGGAACCCTTTTGCCCTTTGCAAAGTCCCTCACCATTTTTCTGGACGAATGTTTGATTTATCAGGTGTTTTTAGCACCATATCCAAAACCCATCCAAATCTGCTATGGGCTAATGCAAGTCTTCAGGGAAGCTTGGATAACACTGGAGAGCTAATCCTTTGGCTCCTGTAGAAAGACAAAATCCATTTTGGATTTGCCTTTTGAGGCCTAGTGCAGAAGCTCCGTTGAAAACAATGGCCCCTATAAACTTTATTTAAGCAATGGGGGTGCAGCTCACTGGTAGAGCGCTTGCCTAGCAGGTTTGGGAGGCTCTGGGTTCTATGTTCAATACTGCAAAAAAATCATAAAAAAGCAAAAGTTTATTTAATCCCAAGGAGTTTCTTGGCTTCTTTTTTTTTTTTTTTTTGCGGTACCGGGGCTTGAACTCAGGGCCTACACCTTGAGCCACTCCACCAGCCTTTTTGTGTTACGTATTTTTGAGATAGGGTCTTGCAAACTGTTAGCCTAGGCTGGCTTTGAACCGTGATCCTCCTAATTGCTGCCTCCTGAGTAGCTGAGATTACAGGCACGAGCACCAGCACCTGGCCTGACTTCATCTTTACACTGGGAAGGCTGGCTTGGTGCACACACCAAACTGATGCCTTTTCCTGTCTGCAATGCCTAGTAACCCTATCTCTGCCCTTTACCATGTCTATTTATTTGACTTATAGTGGCAAGCGGCCAGACCTGACTTGTGGAACCTCTGGAGTTTTATCCTAAGGCCTGTTAAAACTCTGGTTTTAGTCCCTCTCTCTCTCTCTCTCTCTCTCTCTCTCTCTCTCATGGTACTGGGGTTTGAACTCAGGGCCTCACACTTGCTAGGCAGGTGCTTTACCCACTTGAGCCACTCCACCAGCTCTGTTTTTTTGTGTTGGGTATTTTCAAGATGGGGTCTCACAAACTATTTGAACTAGCTTTAAACTGTGATCCTCCTGGTCTCTGCCTCCTAAATAGCTAGGATTACAGGCAGGAGCACTGGTGCCTTCTCTTGCACAGATCACATATACCAAACCAGGGCTCTGGAGGATTAATTTACAGAAAGAACAGCTGGGTTCCAGTGATTCACACCTGTAATCCTAGCAATTCAGGAGACAGAGACTAGGAGGATCACAGTTCAAAGACAGACCCAGCAAATAGCTCAAGTGACCGTATCTCGGAAAAACCCATCACAAAAAAGGACTGGTGGAGTGGCTCAAGTTGTTGGTCCTGAGTTCAAGCTCCAACAACACACACACACACACACACACACACACACACACACACACACACAGCCTGCTCTTTCTTTTTGGCTGTACTGGATTACTCTAACCATGATCCTCCAGATATCAGCCTCCCAAGTAGACATAATTATAGGCGTGAGCCACCGGTGGCCAGTCTCATTGCCAGGTTTCTGAGGGGCACCCTGAGCAATCTTCTATCTAAAAGTTAAAAGTGCATGACCCTCTCCCTCACTGCTGCCCTATTTTGCTCCCATTCATAACCAGAACTCTTCATTTTTTTCCCAAATGAAAATAGTCTCTCTTTTCAGGTTCTAAAAATGGAGTCCATTCATTGGGGTGCACTCAAATGGCACAGGAAAAGTACAAACGAAGTGAAGAATCACCTGCACCCCTGGGGTGTTACTGTGTTTGCCCAGTGTCCTTCCAGATGCATACATCCACAGGCAGCCTTATAGAAGCACTGTTATTGTGGCCAGGTACCATGGATTCACCCCTGTAATCCTAGCTATTCAGGAGGATTGAAATTTGAAGCTGGCCAGGGCAAAAAGTTAGTGAGACCCCCATCTCAACCAATAAAAGCTGTGTATGGTTGTGTGCGCCTGTCAGCCCAGCTACACAGGAAGTGTAAATTGGAGGCTAGAGGTCCAGGGCAGCCCTGGCATAAATGCAAGTTTATTGAAAGAAAGAGAGAAAGAGAGAGAATGAAAGGAAGGAAGGAAGGAAGGAAAAGAAGGAGGAAAGGAAGGAAAGAAAAAAAGAAATAGAACAATGAGACATGCTGAAACTGTTCCAGGAATGGGGCGTGTGGTAAAGGAGAATGATGGACGGGTGAATTCAACTATGACATATTGTAAGAACTTTTGTAAATTTCACAATGTACCCCCAGTACAACAATAATATGATTTTTTAAATGTAAAAAAAAAAAAAAAAATCAGGCACCCATGGCTTATTCCTGTAATCCTAGCTACTCGGGAGGTTGAGATCAGGAGGATTGTGGTTTCAGGCCAAGCTGAGCACTGAGCAAGTAGTTTGTGAAACCTCTTCTCCAAAATAACCAGAGCAAAATGGACTGGAGGTGTGGCTCAAGTGGTAGAGTGCCTAATTTGCAAGTGGGAAGCTCTGAGTTCAAACCCCAGTTCTACCAAAAAAATTAAACAACAAAAATAACTAAAACCAAAAAGGTCTGGGGGCATGGTTCAAATGGTAGAGCACCTGCCTGGCAAGGAGAAGGCCCTGAGTTCAGATCCCAGTACCACAAAAATAAAAGTCAATTACGGGTTAAGGGCATAGTTTGGTGGTAGACAGGGCCCTGGGTTCAATCTCCAGCAACACAAAAACAAAAAAACACACAACCAAGAAAATTCCCCAATGTCAGCCCTGGACTTACCTAGTCTCACCTTCTGTGACTTACCTGTGCTATAGACTGAGTGTTTGCATTCCTCTCCAAATCCCCAAGCTGCAATGTGATGATATTTAAACTAGGGCCTTTGGGACCCTTACGAATGTGATGTGTAGCCTGAAAGTAAGGCCCAGTAGCTGGGCACTAGAGGCTCATGCCTGTAATCCTCACTACTTGGGAGGCTGAGGCCAGGAGGGACAAAGTTTGAGGCCAGCCCCTGCAAATAATTCAGGAGACCCCCATCTCCAAAATAACCAGAGCAAAATGGACTGGAGGTGTGGTTCAAGTTTTAGAGCACCAGCTTTGCAAGTGCAAAGCCCTGAGTTCAAACTCCAGTCCTACAAAAAAATTAAAAAAAAAAGGTCCAGAGATATCCCTCACTTCTGCCATGTGAGGACACAGCAAAAAGATGGCCATGCACGAGCAAGGAAGTGTACCCTCACCGCACATGGAATTTGCTGGTACCTTGATCTTAGACTTTCCAGTGCTGTGAAAAATGACTTTCTGTTGTTTATAAGTCAATTGACCTGTAGGTATTTTGTTACAGCAACCCAAACAAACTGGTCATTGCCTGGAACTCCAAAATCCTTATCTCTAGTGCAGCCTCACATCTGCCTGTCCCTCCACCCCCCAACTCACAGGCCTTGCCCCTGCTTTCCACACTGATCTCCAACTCAGTTAAGTCCCACAACCCCCGCCAAGCCTCCAGAGTTCCACTTCCTTAGGCTCTCTGCACTGGGTGATTCCTCTCCTCCCCAGAGCACAGGTTCCAGAATTTTTCCAGCCCAACCTCTCACCCTTGTTCTGAGTTTTTAGCTGCAAAAGCAGTGTTTTTTGTTTTTGTTTTTTTGTGTGACTGTGGTTTGAGCTCAGGGCTTTGAGCTTGGAAAGCAGGTGCTCTACTGCTTGAGCCACACCTCAAGTCCATTTTACTCTGGTTACTTTGGACATGGAGTCTCCCAAACTATTTGCCCAGTCTGGCCTCAAACCATAATCCTCCTGATCTTGGCCTCCCAAGTTAGAATTACAGGCATTAACTTCAACCTAGCAAAGGATGTTCTGTGGTTTCAACAGCTTAGTCACCTACCTGGTTCATGTTCCATCTCCTTCCATCTGGACTATAGCAACAGCCTCTGAAGTGGTTCCCTCACCTCCTTCCCCTTCCCTCTCCTTCCCCTCCAGTCTATCCTTTCTAAATTTCAATGTCGACTGTCATCCCCTACTAGATCCTTCCCTTAACTCCAGTTATCCAAATTCCTTACCTGGCATCTAGAGTCCTTCTCAATCTCACTCAACCTACTCCTCATACTTTTATCCTGCCACATCCCATTCCATCTTCTTTCTCACCCGTCCTCACCATGTGCCATTAGCCCTCCCTGGTCACACAAAACTTTCCACTGCTTTCTGAACGGATAGGGATTTTCAAATCTCTTCTCTCCCTTCGTAGGGCTTTGCTATACTCCATCTGGCAAAATCCTCTATAGGCTTCAAAGGCAAACTCAAGAATCTTGTGATGTCTTCCTCACTGTCCTCCCCAAGTTAGGGCTCTCTCTCTCTCTCTCTCTCTCTCTCTCTCTCTCTCTCTCTCTCTCTCTCTCTCTCTCGTTACTTGTCTTTATCACTGCATTTTTCTCCTATCATCTCATAATTGCCTGTTAAAGTGTCTCCCCAACTAGATAGGATGCTCTCCCAGGAGAAAAACCATATTTCTGGTTCAATTTTTAAACCGCAGTAGCACAGGCCCTGGCACCATATATGTATTGGTAAGAACTATCTAGAATGAGCAAAACTCCTGCATGGTGGAGCTCACCTGTACTCCCCAGCTATTAGGGAGTCTGAAGCAGGAGGATTGCTTGAGCCCAGGAGTTCGATACCAGCCTGAGAAACATGGCGAGACTGTCCCCAAAAAAATTACAGCTGGGTGCCGGTGGCTCACGCCTGTAATCCTAGCTACTCAGGAGGCAGAGATCAAGAGGATCGTGGTTCAAAGCCAGCCCTGGCAAATAGTTCGCGAGACCTTATCTTGAAAATACCTAACACAAAAAGGGCTGGTGGAGTGGCTCAAGGTGTAGGCCCTGAGCTCAAGCCCCGGTACCACAAAAAATAACAAATTTCAAAAAAGAATAAGTCGATGGTTAATGAAGAAGTAAGCCAAGGAAGAAACAGGTGAAGGAATACTACTTACACCTGAGCAGGTGCGCCTTGGGCTCAGCCACGCCCCCTGTTGCCCCGCCTCCACAGAAAACTACATTTCCCAGAAGGCCCCGCGCTCAGAACATGCGCAGTGCGACGCTCGGAGGCTGCGACGCCGAGTTTCACTCCGGCTGCCTCCCGCTCGGAGTCGGAGCCTCAGTCAGAGCCTTGCCGAGGCCGAGCCGGAGCGACAGTCCGAACTCGGCGGTGACCTCAGCCTGTCCCCTCGGGTTCCTCAGTCACGGTGAGAGGGAGGGACGGGCGGGCCACCTGCTTGTCGCCTGAGCTGGGGTCCTGAGGACGAGGGGGGAGCGGGAGGGGTGGGGGACACACCGAGCGGAGCCGGGACCGGAAGGGGGCGGTCGTGTGAGGGAGCGAGGGCAGGGCCGGCGTGAGGGGAGCCCCGGGGTCCCGGGGGACTGGGAGGACTGTGCTCCCGGGCCTGAGGTCCTGGAGGCGGGAATCGGGCGCCTGGGACGACGTCGCCGGGCACGGCGGGAGCGGGAGCCGCCGGCTCGCAGGGAGAGGGCGCGCCCCGAGAGTTTCGGTCCGGCAGGACCCCGAGGGGCGGTGGGGATGTTTGTCACCCGGCTCCCTGGCGTGGGGGTTGGGGGTGGGTTCCGCTGGGGAAGGACTCACTGAACTGGAAGCTGGACTTTGGAGGAGTTTTTGGTGCCCATTCTTGTTTCTCCTCAAATGGGGTCAGCCTTCCCGGAAGCTCCTATGGCTTGGGTCCCGGGTCAGTTTGGGGTGTGCGTAATGTAGGCTGAAGAGGAGTTGCAAGACTCTTCCTTTTTCTGGAGCCCCGCTTTGTCCGTCTTTCTGAGTCAGCTGCATCCCTCCACGCTGGCTTCACTTCCCCAAAGTGCCAACAGGGATGGAAATAAGATGTGTACAGAGGCGGGGCCCTTCAGGAACTCACAGTATATTTCTGGGTGCCATTCTAGCTGTTCCAGTGTTGTAGACAGTAGACTTTCTGCTAGCCAAAACCAAGCCCGTTTGTTCATTTGCTGTGTAGCCTTGGGCAAATTTTTATCCTCTCCGGTGTTTTTTCTGGACGCCTCTGAAGTCCTCTTTCTGGGAAACTATCCCTTTGATTGTTGATAGGGCTGAGAGACTGTCATACCTTCTGCTCTGCCCAGACTGTTGGAAAATAAACCTGGTAATTTTTCAGTCCCTAGCCACAGCACACCAATCCAGCTAACATCTGTGCATTCCTTTTCACTCTCTGCTGTTTCTCAATTTAAAACCTGATCATTTCTTGTTGGCAAAGGTGCTTCGGAATCTGTGTCGCTGAGTCAGCACGCCCTTCAGATCTGCCCAGGTTTTGTTGTTTGCATAGTGTATCAAGATGGGAACTCAAACAAGTTATTCCTCCTAAGGATCTGGTGTCTTCATCAAGAAGAGACGGTTTGTGCCAACCCCTACAGAGAGCCAAGGTGAGCTCACCACAGGGAATTCACCTTGCAGCCTTCTCAAATCTGCCTTTCAAAAGAGAGAAGGTGGGCGCGGATGGGGGGAGGGCAGAATTTCTAGGTCTCTGGGAAGAAAGTGAGCCCAGGAGTTGACTGTTGATTGCCAGCTGTCGCAGATAAATTCAAGTGGCTTCTTGCCAAGAGCTTCTCCTGTCGAACCAGTCTTTGAGGACGCTTTTCATTTTAAGACAAACTTATGGGATGAAGGACACAAGTCATGATTTTCTGTGTTTGAACTAGAAACATTAATTTCTTTGGTTGTACAAACCTTTCCTGGGTGCCAGACAAGATCCCCGTCTTCTGTCTTCTGCAAACTTGTTTGGTGGAAAGACAGACACACCAAGTCAGTGACAATGTGTTGTCAGTGTGTTTATGTGCTGAGCTGGGGGAAATCACAGGCCACTTCCTCCAGGAAGTGGGTAGGAAGCAGAGTCTGGAAGGCTTCTGGAAGGTAGGTGATAGCCAAGGTGAGTTGTGAAGGAAGAGTAGAAAGTAGAAAGTGGGGAGAAAGCCTGGCAGGGGAGCCAGCATTTGATTTGTTTGTTTTTTTGTAATACTGAGATTTGAACTCTGCCTATACCTTGAGCCACTCCACCAGCCCTTTTTTGTGATGGGTATTTTTGAGATAGGTTCTTGAGAGCAGGCTTCGATCCATGATCCTCCTGAATAGTTAGGATTATAGGCGTGAGGCCAGCATTTGAAAAGTCATAGAGCTGCCAGGCCAGGGCAGGACTGGGCCACTACCTGTTCTATAAGTAGTTCTGTGTGGCTGGAGCAGCATGGTGGGCTGGGAAGGTGGGTAGAGGGTTCTGGGGGCCATGTCAAATGTTAGTGGTTTGTCCCTCAAAGATGCATGCCCTGGAAACTTGGTCCCAGTGTGGTGATGGTGAGGTGGTGGAGCCTAGAGGAAGGCATAGGTCATGGCAGCTTCCCAGTCATGAATGGGTTAATGCTGGTCTTGTGGCATGGGGCTCACTCCCAAGAGTGAAGTAGTTCTCTAGAGAAATAGAGATGGATACAAAGCGAGGCCACCCTGCCTGCTGGCCACTTCTGCAGCTTTGTGTCCCTTTTTGCTTTTCTGCCACATTGTGGTTGTGATACCACAAGGGCCGGTGTTGTGTTCGTGTTCTTTGGACTGTCCCTTCTGTCATCCCAGTCATGAGCCAAATAAATCTTATAAGTTACTCAGCATCAGGTATTTGTTATAGTGACACAAAACCAGATCCATGGCTCTGGGGAGTGGAAGGATTTTACCAAAATTCCACAAGGAGTTTTTTTTTTTTGGTGGTCCTGGGTTTTGAACTCAGGGCCTACACCTTTAGCCACTTCACCAACCTTTTTTTGTGATGGGTTTTTTTCAAGATAGGGTCTCTTAAACTATTTTCTTGGGCTGGCTTTGAACCATGATCCTCCTCTCTGCCTTCTGAGTAGCTGGGATTGCAGGTGTGAGCCACTGGTGCTCGTGCACGAGAGGCATTTTTAAAGGATCTGAGAAGTGTGGAAGGGATTAAGTTGGATTATTCTCTTTGTGATGGTTTCTTTACACCATGGCAGCTTCTGGTAGGGAAGGGGTCCATGAGAGCTTTCACTCTCACTCATTCATGGTCTAGGTAAAGAGACATAGGTTGCTGTGAAGTACAGAAGTTGGTAAGATGGTATTTTCTTTCTGTTGGGCACACCAAGGCATAGAGGTGCTGATTAATGGGCTTTGGGGCTAGGGGGTTGCTTAGTGGTAGAGTGCTCACCTAGCATGCGTGGGGCCCTGGGTTCCACCCCCTGAACCAACAACAGCAATGGACCTTGGATGTAAGGGTAAGGTCAGGCTAGGATTCCAAGGTGGGGAAACCTTGGATGTGGGTGGGGATAGACGCTGTCACTTCAACTCTTGGGAAGGTGCGGTGGGGTGGATGAGAGGAAGGATGGCATGGGAAGAGAAGAACACTGGCAACTAATTGTTGATAGTAGGAAGGGGGAAGACCATGTGGGGATGGGCTTTGACTGTCCACCTGTGGAACTTGACCTTTATTGTGCAGATCCAGGGGAGGTGTGGAGGAGATAAGACCAGAACTATACTTGAATCTGGGCGTGGTGGTACTCAGCCGTAATCCCAGCTGCTTGGCTTTGGAGATGCAGGTTATTGTTCGAAGCCAGTTTGGGGCAAAAGTCAGCTTGAGATCCTACTTGAGAAACATTAAAAGCAAAAGGACTGAGAATGTGGCTCAAGTGATAGAGAGCCTGCCTAGCAATCTTGAGGCCCTGAGTTCAATTCCCTATACTACCACAAAACAAACAAACAAAAACCTATTTCAGGAAGAGTGATGTCACACCTTTGTCTGAGGTATGGACTAGAATAGACAGAAGTTAGTGAAGCCATCAGGGAGGGAATATTTTGTTTTATTTTTATTTACTTTTGCAGTACTCGGGATTGAACCCGGGGCCTTGCACACGCTGGGCAAGCGCTGCACCACTTGAGCCATTCTCCCAGCCCTTTTGTTTGTGTTTTGTTTCTGAGATAGGGTTTATCTACCTTTGCTGGGACTGGGCTCACCTGGAACTCTTGCTCCGTCTCTCAGTGTCTGTAATCCTGGATACATGTTAATGCAAGAGGCAGAAAGACCTCAAGCAGTAGGGCTGAAGAGGTGCAGAAAGTGTAGGTTGAAGAGGAGCAAGAATCTCTGGCGTTTCTCCTGACTGCCTGAGGCAGAGTGGAGTCTAAGAATCCATGGGGAAAAGAAGAAATGTAAAGAAGGTAGGTTTGGCTTCAGACATTTTTTTTCTCCCTTTTTTTGTGTTGGGTTCGTTTGACAGAGGGTCTTGCAAACTGTTTGCCCAGGCTGGCTTTGAATCATGATCCTCCTGATCTCTGCCTCCTGAGTAGTGAGGATTACAGGTGTAAATCACCAATGCCTGGTGGCTTCAGATATTGTCAAGGTAGGAAACGAGGCCATGGGTTAGGGAGAAAAGTGGCTTATTGCTCAAATCCCTACTGAAATTCTGTATGCCAGGGCCTTTGTCTGGCACTTGGAGCACAAAGATGGATTACACAGTCTCGTAGGTGTAAACTAGTAAACTGAGAACAAGTAAACTGTAAACAGGTAAACTGAGAACTAGATTAATGCTCATTCATTGGTGCTCATGCATGGCCTGCTTTTCTTTATTCAGTAATTTTTTTTTTTTTTTTTTTTTTTTTTGCAGTACTAAAGTTTGAATTCAGGGTCTACACCTTGTGCTACTCCACCAGCCCTTTTTTTGTGATCAGTTTTTTTGAGATAGAGCCTCTTGAACTATTTGTTTCAGGTACGATCCTCCTGGTCTCTGCCTCCTGAGTAGCTAGGAGCCACTGGTGCCCGGCTTCAGTAAATTTTTTTGAGACAGGGTATTGACGTGTAGTTCATACTGTCCTGGAACTCGGGGTCCTCCCACCTCAGCTTCCTGAGTGCTGGGATTACAGGAGTGACCCACCATTCCCTGCTAGTCCCATAGATTTCTAAGAAAGTTAATATGGCTAAGACATATCCATGTTAGGTCATGTCACAGGGTTCAGTTATTTTTACTACTGAATACATCTCATGGTGTAGATGTCCCACACAATTCATCTGGCCACCATGGATGGTCATTTAGTTGTTTCTAGGTTTTTGTTACTGGGAGCATCTTGCACTGAACATTTCCATAGATGTCTCTTGTCATACATAGACCAGAAGATAAACTAGGTATGGTATTTCGTCTGGTCCTGGAGTGAATAAATGCTCCCTTTTCACCGCAGATACTACCAGACTGCTTCCTGAAGTGGCTGCACCAATTTCCAGTAGACCAGCCGTGGGAAGTGGGCCATGCGGTCACGTTGTGTGTGTTCTCTCTGACTTTTGATACGGGCACACTTTTTTGTTTTGGCCAATTGAATCAATGTAAAATGGGATATTTTGGTTTCAAGGTCCCTGAGTCTAGATATTGAACATCTTTTTTGTCTATGGTCTGTGTGTTTCATGTGAAATATTTGTTCATCTGTTTTGCCATTTTTGTTTGTTTGTTTTGAGGATCTTGCTATGTAGTCTAGGCTGGCCTTGTACTCATGCTTCTCCTGCCTCAACCTCTTTACTGTTGGTGGTCCTGGCTTATGACTGGCTTCTTTTGCCAATTTTTCTGTGGAGTTTTTTAGAAAGAGTTCTTTTCTTTGGGTGGTACTGGGGTTTTCAGCTCAGTGCCTTGTGCTTGCTAGGCAGGTCTGCCTCGTGAGCCACACACTCAGCTACACATTTTGCTTTCAGTGGTGTTTTTTTCTTTGAGGGTATAGACAAAAAGTTTATTAAGAAAAAGTACAAAGCTCCTGAGCAAGGCAGGGAGGGTCCTGAGTGGGTTGCCTACTTTCAGTTATTGAATGGGATGTCTTGTATTTATGCCTGGACTGGACCTTGATCCTATTTTTGCTTACTCATACCTGGGATGACAGGCGTGTACCACTATGCCCAGCTTTTTATTTTAAGATGGGTTCTTACTAACTACCTGCCTGGGCTGGCCTCAAACTTCAATCTTCCGAATTCTGCCTCCCAAGTAACTAAGATTACAAAAATGAGTCACTGATGCCTGGCTTTAGTAGTGTTTTTGTTTGTTTGTTTGTTTGTTTGCTTTTTTAATACTTAGTTTGAGCTCAAGGCTTCACACTTACTAGGTGGAAGTTCTACTGCTTGAGCCATACCTCCAGCCCAGGAGTGCATTTTATTTATTTATTTTACTTATCTTTTGGTGGCACTGGGGTTTGAAGTCAGGGCCTCACACTTACTAGACAGGCACTGTTACTGCTTTGACCCACTCCAACAGCCCTTTTTTGTTTTTTTGGTCTTTTTTGGATGATTCCAAAGAATTTATTGTAAATGTAGTGGCAAATACATTGAGAATAATCATCATTAAAAAGGAACTAGAAAATTACACACGTTGAAAGTGTATGTTAATCACCAGCCCTTTTTTGT